CAGAATGCAGAGTCTGGGCAGATGCTCAGACTCCTGTCCATGCTGGAGGGACAGGTACGCCTCTCTGTCACATCAGATTCCCCAGGTTGTCCCAAAGGCAGAAAAGTGACTTAGTCGTCGTGTACCTAGAATAAGGGCGGCACTGTGGAGTTTAGTGAGTGGATGTGTGCTGGTTTTCAGGTGCACATCAATTCCACATTTCCCAAGCATGCTCCGGGGAACAAGAGATTTGTGAGATACTCTGCAAAAGCTATCAATGATGCCAGCCTCCAGCTGGGCCCACACCTGCCCTGTCCCCTCCTGGAGCTGCAGAAACACACCTGATCCCGAGACAACCTACCGAAGAAGACACAGTTCGCCTTGACTAAATCTCACTGACCAGCCAATGCCTTCTGCAGCTGCTGAATGAGCAGAACACAGTTCTGGAAACCACTTCTCTAGGTAGCCACGGCACACATGCTTCTGGACACTTATGAACTCATGTATGGCAAACACAGTACAGCAAGCTTGGCAGCTGTGAGGGATAACAGTTGACGTTGACTCTCAGTGTGGAGTGGTGAGGAAGATCAAACCGCTCCTGTTCCCTCAGTGCCTCATTTACCAGCAAAGCTGACAGCCGGCAAAGGGTAAAGCTCGGTTTAGCCTCTCCCATGTACAGACTCCTCTGCGTCCTTCTGACACAAAGAATTTGAAGCAGAGCCCAGCTGCATCTACCTCTGGTCCTCTCCCGGGGCCTCTGCATACCCGAGGAACATGGCTCAATGGGGGGGGGGGTGCCAGGGAAGCATCGCCTTCCTGTTTTGTGGCTCCATGCCCACTTTTTCCTGTTTGTAGATGGATCTCCTGATCCCTTTCCTGGAGCTGCCCAGGCAAGGGATTCCCAGGCTACCTATGGGGTTTCCTCTTTGCAAAGCTTACATGAAACATCCTGCCTTCCTGACTTAGGACCGAAATCAGAATCACCTTCAGTAGGAGGTGGGATTCCAGAGGCTCAGGGGCTGTGAGGAGCATGATTAGAAAGAACTCAGGGAAATTGATTGGCACTCTTTGGCTGCAGGGGCATCTGAAACGTGGGAGAAGGAGAGGGAGGAGGGAGGCAGAATCAAAGGGGGGAACTGTTTCCTTTTATCAGGACAATGAGGCAAAGGAGGAGGAAGTGAAAGAATGTTCTTCAAATGTCAGGAAGTCACTGTCTAAATCCAAGGAAGCAGGTGCCCCCAGGCAGGGAGTAGCCCGCACTTCCCCACAGCCTCTGAGCCCCAGCAGGGCAGCTCTGAGGAGCAACAATTAGGCCAAACATTAATTACGGAATTAAATATGTGTTAATCACCAAATACTTGACAATTTGTGTTTTAAGGAGCCATAATTAACCTGCAATTACCCGTATTCCATGCAGGTTGCCATTGTGAGGGTACCTGCACAGTGTTCTCCCATAAATAGTAAGTGCTACACAAAAGGACTTCTGCTGAGGAAGGCTTAACTCTGAGAAAACATGTTTCAGAACTCTGTAACTGTCCACCAAAGACCATGTTAGCCGGTGATATCCAAGACTGTCTTACCGAAGTGTGCTTTCTTTAACTACCTATTATGACATTACATAGTAAATCCTTTTGAACGGTTCATTTATCCATCTAAACTAGTATTTACTAAGGATTGGCAGTGTAGCTCCCTGGGAAAGTTCATGGATAGCATGCACCAGACCCTGGGTATACTCCACAGCACCACAAAACAAACATACAAAACACCAATCCTTGGGCTGGAGAGATGGCTCAATGGTTACAAGCACTGCCATCTCTTCCAGAGTTCCTGAGTTCAATTCCCAGCAACCATGTGGTGGCTCACAACCATCCGTTATGAGATCTGGTGCCCTCCTCTGGCCTGCAGACATACATGCAAGAAATGTTTATAATAATAAACAAATCTTAAAAAAAAAAACCAATCCTTATTTGATGGTGTCAAAACAATCCAAGAAGTTATCAATGAGTATATCATAATCCTGTTTCACAAATACATAAATCTTCCGTTACTTGTGTTCTGGGTAGACATTGTGCTCCTGTTGAAAGCAGAAGTGTGTTGAGGGAGAGCGGACCCCTGTCTCCTTGGTGGAGGCTCTCAAGAGCACTGCCCCCTTTAAATACTCAAGTCTTCAGCTTTCAGGCTCACACACAACACCTGAGAATACATCATTTAGATATTGTTTCTCATGGACTGGGTCCCCCCAAGAAAATATAATATGCATGCACAGTACCAGAGCTTCTGCAATATTTTGAAATTAGAACCATTAATCATGATAAATCAGGTTCCTCTCTTCCGTCCAGGATAGGACTCTGTATAGAGAAAACTACATGGGATTTTTCATCCAAAGCAGATGACGCCCCTCCAGGATTCATATTTGTGAGAGCATCAGAAAACAACCACCATCTCTGGAATTAGCGCCCTCGGAAGAATAGGCATCTGACTTTGGGTTCCTATGCTTCCAAAAATCAGTGTCTGAGTTTAGGCCACCCAGTGGGTGGTATTGTGTTATTGCAGCTCAGTAGGGTCAGAGAGCAGCAAAGCAATGGCCTGCACAAATCCTAAAGTCGTAAGAACCATGTTCAGATCTTAGTTGGTAAATCATGCACTCTTTAATAATGTAAGTGAAGGAGGGAGAAGGAAGGGCTTTGGAGTTTGGACTGGGTCCATAATTGGGAAGGCAAAATATTTTAGCAGTAGTTGGTCAAGAAAAGAATGCATTTCGAAAATGACAATAGCCTGTTGCAATGTGTTTGAAGAATCCCTTTGATAAATCTGATATCCTAAGATTGGTCATAAATTAAGCTGTTTTTTTTTTAATATGCATGGCTCTTTAACAAGCTATGAAAAAAGCAGAAATTCTAACCTTGATTGTGGTCAACATCAAACCAAACCATGATGAAAGGTTTCATGAGAACTCACTCTGTGATTTAGGAGGGGGCGGGCTAAGGGAAAAGTGAAGGAGACTAGCACATAGACGGGCAGGCCATGCGCTGACCCTGTGCAGCGTGTCCCGCTGGCCTGAACCGGGGACACGCTTAGAGCAGGCTCCACAGGAAGGAGGAGGAAGCATAACCAAGAAGGGTTTTCCTGCTCTGAGAGTGTCCCACCACCAAGCTTCAAAGCACAGAGACATTAGCCCTCCAATGTGGGGATGCCCTGGACCCTTGCCCAGCTAACCTACTGTTTTGCTTGCTGTTTAAACCCAGAAGGGAGGAAATTCACCCCAAAAGTTTTTAATTATAATTTTAAAATTATATTGCTAACTGGCCACTGGTACATTTATATTAAGATACGATATTCATTTAATAATGGGATTATTTTCCTCCATGAGGGAAAAACTAGTGTTTTTTTTATAAGTAAAAACAACACAAAAATGGAGAAAATTGACCATATGATAAGGCAAAAAGGGAAAAAAAAACACTTTGTTATTTCATTAGCTAGGGAGATTCCACATTTTATGTATTTGTTTTATAATGTCTTTGGTCTTTATTAGATACTTTTAATACAAGGATGAAATTAAATATATTGCTCTATGCCCAATTTATTAATTGGCTGACAGAAGTTTAGATATAACACTACATAGTCTATAACTTCTTTTCTTTTGGAAAATTTTATGCATATGAGTGCTTTGTCTGAATGCAGGCGGGTGTACCATAGGAGTGCCTGGTACTCGGGGCTAGAAGATTGTGTTAGATCCCCTGGATTCGGGTGAAGGATGGCTGGTGTGCACACCACAGGCTCAGGTCTTCTGCAAGAGCAGCAGTCCTCTGCCGAGCCATCCCTCCAGATGATAACATTAATTCCATTGTTTCCTGAACAAACTTTTGCTGAGGTAGTATAAATTAACATTATTTTCATGGGTTCCTAACACAATTTTGTGTTGAGGCAGTGTAAATGAACAAACCTGCTATTGTTGGGAAACAATACTCTTTCTGATTTTGCATTTTTATAAAGAAGCTACTGTATATGCTTTTGTTCTTATGGTTAATTATTTGCAATCATTCTTCATTGTGTCTTTAGGGCAAATTTCTAATAGTAAGCTAAATTTGGGTGCAATAAATTTAAAAACCTTTAAAACTTATGGCCAAAGTATATTCTAAAAAGAGTTTAACCAGGTACCAGTGATATCACAGTTCTTTCTCCACATTTTAATTTTCACTCAACAAACATTTATCTTTCATTAAATGTTAGGTATTATTTCATGTCCTGGGATATAAAGATGAGTTGAACAAGGAGTTTATAACCAACCCATTTATCACCACTGTCAGCTGTGGGTAGAGAAGGTGGGCTTGAAGGATACTGTCTGCTAAACACAAAGCCTTCATGCCTGTAGTGGTCTGAATGAGAATGGTCCCAATAGGTTCATATGTTTGAATACTTGTCCCTCATCTGTAGAACTGTTTGGTAAGGATAAGAAGGTGTGGTCTTACTGGAGGAGGTGTGGCTTGTTGGAGGAGGTGTGGCCTATTGAAGGAGATGTGCCATGGGGGCAGGCTTTCAGGTTTCAAAACTCCATACCTTCCCCAGTGTCTTGCTCTCTGCCTTCCAGTTCTGTGTCAAGAGGTGAGCTCTTAGCCACTGCTCCAGTGTCATGTCTACCTGCCTGCTACCATGCCCCCTGACATGGAAGTCATGGACTCACCCTATGAAATTGTACACCCCACATAAACCCTTTCTTCAATAGGTTGCTTTCATCATGACGTCTTATGACAGCCATAGAAAAGTAACTAAGACAGTAAGTTACCACGTTTTTTTCTTAAAACAATATAAAGCCTGGACAGATTTCAATTATTTTTTTGTTTTGTTCACATAACCATTACTCACTTTAAGGACAGCCTGGACTGCACTTATATTGGCATTAAACAAACAGCTTCTTGCACATTCTTTGATGATACTAACATAAATACAACTTACAGTTATGGGAACTAGGAGAAATGTTTAAGACAGGAAATGTCTTAAATGGCAAGAATGTGCAAGCTTACCTGGTAAAAGTTGGGCCAGAAGGTGCTGATGGCCAGTTCTGCCCTGTGCCATGTGCGGGTTGGATCTCCAGACATGTTCCAGATAGGGTTCCCCAAAGGCCCATTATTCACCTTCACGTAGACACTGAGCAGCCCAGGGGCAGAGTTACTCTTGCTGGAAACAAAATAGTGGAAATCGATGCAGTGGGTGTCATTTTCCTTAAGCTGAGGCAAGAGTAGGTGAGCCCTCTGGCCCTCTGGTTTTCCGGAAGCATTCACCAGCATGAAGGAACCTGTGGAAACAAAATCAGGGTGTCATGAACCAAAATATAGATTTTTTTGGGTACTTTCTGAAAAGCTACTATCATTTATATGAATTGGCAATGAAATTACACATATTTTACTTAAGTTTAAAATAGAGAGAGGGTGGGTCTTTCTGTACAGCACAGGCTAGCCTTAAACTCACAAGCCTCCTGCTCCAGCCTTGTGGGTGTCAGGTTTATGGGTTTATGCCACCAGAACTGGTATGCTGAAAACTCCACTTTCTTTCACACCTTTTTGTTTTGTTATCCTCTGCTTCTACCAAGCCCTAATAGGTCAGCAAAGTCAATGAAGAAATCTACCCTGGAGATTACTGTGATGAACCTGCTAGATAACAAGCATGGTGTAGACCAGTCATAGACCTACAGAGGTGATGGGGATGTCCTTCTGTATATGTGTTTCTCTTATTGGTTGATGAATAAAACACTGTTTGGCCACTAGAGGCATGAAGATAGGTGGGACTGGGAGATGAGGAGGATGCTGGGTAGGGAAAGGTAGGCAGCAAGAGACAGCAGAGAGACACCATGTAGCCACCAAAAGAGTAACAGCAAACCAAGACCACGTGGAAATACATAGATTTATACAAATGGGTTAATAATTAAGACAGAGCTAGCCGATAAGAAGCCCTAGCCATCGGCCAACAGGTTTGTAATTAATATATGTCTCTGTGTGTTCATTTGAGGCTGAAGAGCAGTGGGACCAGGCTGAGAAAGAAACTCCAGCAACAATGGGGTCTATCTGGTAGCCACTGGCCACTTGCAGTTATTTATATTCAAGTCAATTAAAACCTCACACTATTAAAATCATTCAGCTCCTAGGTCACACCAGCCACATTTTAAGTGTCCCACGGCCACATGTTACTACTTGTCACTGCACTGGGAAATTGAGACACAAAACTAACTCGTTTTCTTCAAAAGTTGCATAGGGAAGCTCTAACCTATTTGTACCACCATTATCAACTAAAGTCACGTTTAACACAGTAGATCATCCCATAAACAAACATAAAGGATGCTAGGAAAGTTGTCCACACACTGTGATTCCTAGAGCCATCAAGATGATAATTTTTTATGGAATATGGAAAGGAGTTGAAAACACAAACATGGAGAACCTCCCCACATCAAAAGAGTACTGCTATGGGGTTACAGTGTGTGTGCTCACAACTGGAAGTGCCTTGGACTCTGGATAGTGTCAGCTAGCTTTAAAACCAGTGTTTCATTTCTGGGAGCATCTAATTCACATGCTGGGATGAATGAAAGCCAAAAACAGAAGTTTACAATCTGCCACTCCAATAACCTGTAAGCCACCCAAACACAAAACCCACCAAAAAGCCTGGGACAGGATAACAGCAGTATCTTAAATGATAGCAAACATCAAGGGATGGATCTCACACCTACCAGGAAGGGCTATATTTGGAATATATTTTAGACAGGAACCTCAGGTATGATTTAGGAAAGACTAGGAAGTAGGAAGTGGTGGTACATGCCCACTGTCCAGGCTACTCAGGAGGCTTGAGGAAGTAGAATTGCTTGAGACTAAGACTTTGAGTCCAGTCAGGCCAACAAAACAAGCTGCTACCTCCAAAGAGAAAGCTCTCTCTCTCTCTTTCTCTCTCTCTCTCTCTCTCTCTCTCTCTCTCTCTCTCTCTCTCTCTCTCTCTCTCTCTCTCTCTCTCTCTGTGTGTGTGTGTGTGTGTGATAAATTAAGGAAGAAACGTTCATGAGCTTTGGAGGGAGTGGATGGATATTAGAGGAGGCAAAGCGTTATAAACAACAAGCTCATGTATGAAACTCTTTAACGTTTTTTAAGAATGAATGCCTTCCTATCCTCAATGTGCTGGAGAATGAAAGCCAGCTCTGAGACCCTGTTCCTGTCTTAAATACCTCTCATGTGTCCTGGGATTAAAGGTGTGTGATCCTGAGTGCTGAGATGATCTCTGTGTGAGATGTTTCTATTTAGGACAGGATATATTTTGTGTAGCTTAGTGTGGCCTTGAACTAACAGAGATCCGTCTACCTCTACCTCCCAAGTGGTGGGATTAAAGGTGTGTACCACCACTGCTTGGCTTCTATAGCTGACTAGTGTGGCTGGCTTTACCTTCTGTACCCACAGGCAAACTTTAATAAATCATAAATAATACATCACCATAAGTGCCTGCCTGCCTGTCATTTCTTAGCCATCTAGATCTTCCGGCTAGCTGCAGAAATCACCACAGTGCTTGTGTATAAGGTTAGGAAAGATCCAAGATTTGAAGAATCCATACTCACTGTGGCTTTTGGAACATATCTCTGACATAAGCAGGGTCTACTGCACTCCAGTGGTCTAATTTTTATAGTTCTCTTTCCTTTTTATCCCCATTTCAGTCAGAATATGGTCTCTTTGATTACCAGGTGTGCCTCTGAAAAAAGATTTGAGTATTGGTACCTGTAACCCTTAAGCCCCTCCAGTTCCTGTCCTTTTTTTTTTTTTCCCAGACATGAACTGACATGAACACACAAAACTTTTAAAAGAGAAAGTCTTGGTATGAGCACCCGAGGGGCCTCATCTTCTCTCTGCAGCTCCTATTACTCAGGACAAAGCTTGCCACAAAAGTTCAGTGTGCCCTGATAACACAACTGCCATGGCTCTGTCTCCCAAACTCCTCAGCACATGGCTCCACAGAGTATCTGCCATTCTCCGCTATTCATCTTTGTTCTTCCCCCAGTCCTATCTCAGTTCACACACATAGATGGTAACTTGTAGATCTTCTCTCGTTGCTAGAGAAATACTAATGCTGAGACATTACAACTCAGCTGGCTTTACCCTTAGGTTCTGGGGGAAGGGCATCTTCATTGCTCAGAGCATGGCCATCAGGACTCAACTGGACTTTCAAGTATGAAAGGTGGCATTCATATCTGCATGTGTGTTTCCTGACAGCACTGAATCCGAGACAGCCTGTGAGTCTATAGAAGCCATGGGGAGCATTTGTGTTCAGCAAAGGGAGCATTTGTGTTCAGCAAAGTCTAGCTGCCGGAAGCCTGAGGGAAAGCTGTGACTGTGTATTCAGGAATCCCAGGAGGAAGAGATGCCTTTTAATTGTTTGAATGTATCACCTATCTGCTATCAAAATGAAGTCAACTCACCAATCAATGTTTAATGATCTAACGCGTTCCATTCCAAACCCTATACACCTAATGTTTAATTCTCACTTCCCCTTCAGTGGTTTGACTTAGAGGAGAGTGCTTTCAAATGGGTCTCCCTCTGTAGTTCCTTGACTTGCCTTCTCCTCCCTACAAAAGGCACTCCAATTGGGCAAATCATAAAGGCAATTGTGATTCAAATTAACATGGGAATTCTGTTTGTGTTCAGATAACAAAACACCCTTAAGTCATGGGTGTATAAGCAAAAAATGTTACATTGCTGACAACTTAAGGATACTCAGGAGAGTCAGTTTCAAATGGAGCACTCTTTAGATGCAGGCATGGAAGGATTTTAGGAATGAAAACTCTTCTGAGAGCCTGCAATGTTCCCATTCTTGAGTCTTTGGGTGAATTAAATTTAGCGTAATCATATCCATTGGCAAATGGTCTTGATTATTCTATCTTCCATCATTGTTTGTGACAGCGGTAATAACCGCATGGGATTGGTTATCCTCTCTACCCCACCATTAAGATTTGCATTGGTGTGGAGGAAACTCTAGATAGAAAACAAAGCTGAGCAAACTCAAATTTCTCATCTGCCAGTAGAGAAACCATTCGAGTAACAAAAGATGGGGTTGTTCTCTGTTGCCCAGCTTGTGGTACTCAGTGCTTAGGCTGACAAAGAAGCAGCCATTACGAAGCCCACCTTCTAAAATGGCATTTCAGCAAAAGCCACATATCCCAGTTGTTTCTTCCCATCAGCCATTGTGCCTTCCTTTTCTCCTCTACAAGCTCGCCTTCAATTTTTGGATATAGAATAATAATGATAAAGGAACCCGGATCATGTTTGAATTTCTGTTGGGGTCTTGGACCCTGACTCTAGTGTTGGAGCCGCTGGGGCTGAAGAGACAGCAGTGGTGACAGCTGGGTTCACTACGGTAGTGGCTTATAGACCATCTACAATGGATCAGTTTCCTTAAACAATAAAAATCTCAGTGCATCTCAGTCAAATTTATCTAAAATGCCATAAACTAAGTTGCTAGAAAAATGGAATGAAGACAAACAAAATATAAACAGTAGGCTCATTTTTATTCAGTGAAAGGAACACAAAATTCCTCTTCTTGATCCTATGAACATTTTCTCAAAATTTACCATCAATTTCTGTGCTAGCTGTGTGCAGACCAAGGTCTGAGGAGTTGTGAGCCAGTCCTGAGCCCCACAGCCCCCTTGGAAGGATGGCTAAATATTACAAAATAGCAAAGCCATATTGAGCCCAGGTACTACCTATGTAGTCCCTCCAGCATACGCTGAGACTCCTGGATGCTCCAGCCCCTTAGACAAATGGCAGATTATTTCATAGAGCCTCTGCCAACCCTGTATGTACTTTATATCAGCACGAGATGACTTGCAACACCTACTATCTCGAAATTAAGTGCTATCTGCTGCAACTTTGGGAACGATGGCATGAAACAAGGCTATACATTCAGGATAGGTACAAATTCTTGGCAGTTAGTTTTCAAATACTTTGACACTATGAGAGTAGAGTCACAGGACTGAGTGTACATTTCTGCTTCACTGTAGACGGCAAATTTCTTTGGCTTGTTCACTCTGACAGAACAGTTCTAGAAAGCTGATGGTCTCCGAGACAGAAGCTGCTGAGGAACACTGGGAGGCAAGAGGACAAAGGAAACACAGAGGTCAACACAGTAGCTGAGAAGTCTTCCTGAGATCCTCAATACAGAAAAGAACAGGCTTCAAGGCCAGAAGAAAACATGCTGGCAGCAGAGCCCAGCACATAAGATGGCCAAGGATATGAGCAAATATTCAGAGGGCAGGGAAGACAGGGGGGAAATTGC